TTGCTATTTCTGTAGCAGTATAAGGAGTCTTGCTATCAGGTGTCTGTCTCACAAAGGTTGTTACTTCTCCCAATGTGACACTCCCTGTGTTATTCTCGTTGTTTTTGATGTTCTACGAGCTTGCTCCTTCTTTACCCCATAATCTACCTATAATTACGAAACCCGAAACACCCTAAACCTTGTTCTTCCCTTACCCTAAACCCTAAAAGGCCTAGAAGTCCTTTGTCAGGTTGCTGGCTCCGGGAGGTATGCGCTCCTCACTCGCGATGTGGGCCATGATGCCCTGGAACCCTTGGAACCTCGGAATCCCACTTCTGAGGTTTCAGAAACCGAATCTACCGGTGAAGTGAGGTCAAGGTTCAGATTGCAACACCCTAAACCCTAAACCCCCAAACCCTGAACCCAGTTTAGGAGATCGGTTTAAAGACAGTTTTGCCTTGGACTGGGCCAAGCTTCGGGCTGGGAGCTTTGAGGCACTGGCAAAGACTGTGAGCGTGATCCTCCATTACCAAATTAAGTGGTCGTGATCGTACTCAACTAAAGGATTGAAATAACAGTTTTAGTAGTTAGTAGCGGTGCTGAGAGAAGAAGACTGGAACACCGACAGTGGCCATTAAAAGGCAAGAACAGAGACAATGTTAATAACAGTGCTACCAACAATACCAACACAACTCATAAGAACAACGGTAACAGCAAGGACCATATTCATATGCAAAAAAATCACTGGAAGAAGTAGTAGTAATAGTAGCAGTAGCAGTAGTAGTAGTAGTAGTAGTAGTAGTAGTAGTAGTAGTAGCAGTAGTAGTGGTAGTAGTCGTCGTAGGAGGAGGAGGAGGAGTTCTGGTAGTAATAGCAGTAGCAACGGTCATGGTAATCCCCCTAAACCCTAAACCCAAAACCCTAAGCCCTAAACCCTAAACCCTAAACCCTGGGAAAGGATGATGTTGCCGACCTGCAGCTTCCGACTCATCGCCATGGACCAACGCAGCGCGCAGGCCCCCGGGCTTGAGAAAGGGGAGACTGTGGAGCCTGAGGGTTTAGGGGTTTAGGGTTTTTGGTTTAGGGTTTTGGGGTTAGTTCGGGTGTTGGGTCTCCCCTGAGGGGTTTAGGGTTTAGAGTTTCGGGTTCTAGGGTTTAAAGTTCGGGTTTTGGGTCTCCCCTGAGGGTTTTAGGGTTTAGGGTTTAGAGTTTCGGGTTCTGGGGTTTGAAGTTCGGGTTTCGGGATTTCGGGGTTTGGGGTTTTGGGTTTAGGGTTGGGGTTTCGGGCTTAGCTTTTGGATTTCAGGGCTCTGTTCTACAATCTATAATTACGGATTACTGCAAGGGGTACTTCAAGGTTCTGCTGAAAGTCAAGCATAAGTTGATGGGCTTTAACAGCAGCTTGTCCATTTCAAACGTGGAAAATATTTCCTGTTGCTGCTTTGCTTGTAGATGGTTTCTGTTACTGTATCAGCACCAGCTCACATCAGCCGATGCCTGCACAAGCTGTTTTCCTGCGATACATCGCATCATTCTCCTGGTTCTCCCAAAGTACTTTGACTTTCGTTGCCGGGGTAGATCTTGGTTTCTAGACTTATAGCTCGCATTGCATTGACAACCTTAGCACCTGATTGACCCCATGACAAAATTTGTAATTGTCGTCGTTGTTATCGTGTACTGTTGCCGCTTGGGTGGCGGTGGTGATCATCGTCGCGGTTGTCGAGCAGTAGCAGAAGCAGCAGCCGGAAGAGGAGTAGTAGTAGTAGTGGTAGTGGTAGTGGTAGTAGGAGTAGGAGTAGGAGTAGGAGTAGAAGGAGGAGGAGGAGTAGTGGTGGTAGTAGTGGTGGCAGTGTAGTGGTAGTGGCAGTCGTAGTGGTAGTGGTAGTGGTGGTGGTAGTAGTGGTAGTAAGAGTACTGAGATTTATTCGTAGCGTGATCGTTGTCGCCTTCGCTGTGTGGCGATGTTAAGAGTTGCTTGTATCGAGGGTCCCGTAAGTGGAGCCGGATTCATTCACTATGCCAGCAGGCAAGGGTAGTCTATTTCGGTTCCCAGGCCTCGGCTGATGCGTGTCTCATGTTTCAAGCATAAGGTTCAAGCCCGATTCCTATCTTGTCTTAAAAGGTTGGTCCCGGCCTGTCCACAGCCACCATCTCTGCCGGCGGCTTGTCCCAGGTTTGCTGTATACGAAGGTTGTGCAACACCACCCTGGACCCAAAACCCTAAGCCACATGGGTGGTTGTCAAAATTAGGGTCCCTTTTGGGGTACCCTAAATAATAGGTGCCGTATTATAATAAGGACCCAAAAAGGGACCCTAATTTTGACAACCACCCACATGATTTACCCAGAGGCTTCTCCACTTCAGAGCCCTGTGGAAACAGCTGAGGAGATGGTTGGCACACTTTTGCAGCCGACCAGCTGGCACTCCTGGATCACCTGGGCATTCAGAAGGCCTTGCTGCTAGGCCCGACATGGGTAGTTTTCTAAGTTAGGGTCCCTTTTGGGGTCCGTTTTATAAGGGTGCGGACTATATTGGGGACCCCGGGGACCCTAATTTAGAGAACCCTAAACCCTGAACCCGAAACCCTAAACCCTGAACCCTGAACCGCAATTTAGAGAAATACCCCACATGACATCTGGGCCGTTCTGCCGCGAACCAAGGGTTTAGGCGTTCTTCTGTGGCACCGTGCGAACATCGGATGTATCCAGCTGGGATACTCTAATTCTCTATACTGTAATATACCCTATTGATCAACTGTAGTTAAAATACTGTACTATAATATTATGCCATAATAATCAGCTGTAGTTAAAAATATTGTAGTTTACTCTCTACCATGTACTGGTGCCAACTGCCGACCACCAGGCCTTTAGCAGTAAGACAGGGCGGACTGCAGTCAAACTCCCGTGAGTCAGGATCTTGCAACCTTAAACCCTAAACCCTAAACTTTATACCTTAACTGCTAGGAGGAAAAAGGTGCTTTAAAAAAAAACTTTAGACCCGAAACCCGAAACTGTACAGCAGCGAGTCAGGATCTTGCATTGGGCCTTCCTTCCAGCTGCGCCTGCTGAAAGAAGCCGCCTGATCTCGTTTTCTCTGATGTCGAGGTCGGTTTTTATCCCTAAACCCTAAACCCAAAACAGAGGAACCCTACCAGCACCCCCCAAGTACCCTTTAATGGAGCCCTCATGGTCCTTAATAGTGGGTATGTAGGGTTTATTAGAGGGTAGTCGGGGGGTGCTGGTATGTTCCGAAGTCTTGAGCCTGTTTGCCATGGTTTAGGGTTTAGGGTTTAGGGTTTAGGGTGGTCACAGACTGGCTATGTTGTGTTGTGGAAGGGCTTGAGGTCAGCATCACTGGCCCGAACTTGCCACTGAGCTTTGGCTCTGCCGTGCTGTGCAGGTAAAATATGAATATACTTCTTCTATAATACCCATATGACTACAGTCGTGTATTAAATTGCTATAGTATATAAACAATATTAGTATGTATATCCTACAATATTGGTAGTAGAAGAACACCCGATGCCCTGGTGCAGTTGAGGCGCCTGATCGCTTTGCGGGGGCCGTAATGCTGCAGCCGATCGGTATGAGCAGCCTGCCTCCGTAGGGTTTAGAGTTTTGGGGTAGAGTTTACGGCTTAGGATTGAGGAAGAGGTTTGAGGTTAGGGTTTAGGAGACAGAGTTTAGGGTTGAGGGGAATCCTGTCAGAGTCGTGGTTTTGGGAGTTTGGGGTCTGGGGTTCAGGGCAATTCTGTCAATTGGTCGTGGTCCAGCCATGGATGCCGTGTTGATGTTACTCTAAACCCTAAACTAAACCGGGTCATTGTTCGGCAGAGCAGGGCTGGCTTACAGGCCAAGCCTATCATCCGAAGAAAAACACTTGGCATCTGGATCCTTGCGTTCCGTAGAAGATAACAATCCGGAGCTTCAGCATGTTGCGGGATTATGAGTTTTCAGGGGGATATGCGAGATTATTTTTGCAGCAATGGAGGCCAAACCTCAGAATGAAGTCCGAAACAGGCCGCCGCGATGAGAACCGGAGTAGTAGCCTGCTGCATGTTCCCACGCGACCGCCATGTTCATGAAGTGCCCTCCCCCGCACGTGCCCACCACTCAGCCACCAACCGCGCCCGCCGTTTTTCGATTGAACTCTTTCGCCTATTGCAGGTCAGCTTTAGGAGCAGGGCGTCGCCGTTGTTCCAGAAATCCTGTCCTCGCCTAGGTGTTCACACCACAGAGCGGGACGGCTGGAAAGGCATCAACACGGAAGCCACCAGCCATTGGTGACTCGGTTGCATGTCGCTGAACTGCATGTCTCATCGTGTCATATGATGCAGTAGGCAGGACATATCTGGTCTGCGAACTATGTATATGTTTACAGGGTCTTCTGAGTCCCACATACTATTATACTGAATACCGCAGGCTCCAAACGCAGAGATCGTGTGCCCGACCCCTGCGCTAAGCTGGAACTCACACTCAAGGGTCCAGATCAGGCCTGTCGATTTTGGCAACCAAACAACTTTTCTCAGCTGCACTAGTTGCCAGCCTTCCCCCATTCAGATACACACTGCAGTTCAGGCCCGACCCAACTGCTTACCATGTCTTTTTTCATTTCGGCTACTCATGTGCCTCCATATCTGGAAAGCCTCAGAGGTTTGGAGACTGGGCAGCTGAGATGGAGAGGGAAAAGAAGGCCGGACCCGCCGAGCTGCGCGGCCTCTACGAGGCGTGGATACATGCCTACGAGCACGGTCTTACGAGGGCATGTCCTTACAGGGCTCTTGCTCCTAGAACAGCGATAGTGGCAGCCAGTGCAGCAAAAAAGAAGCCATGGAACCGCCCTAGAACCTAAGCCAGAGTGTAGGAGTAACTCAGCAACGGACAGTCGCCATAGCAACCATGATAACGATGATAAGGATGGCATTGATTCGTTTTTGTGCCTTCCTGGATGAATGTGCTTGTTGGTTCTCAGTTTTGTCCATTGCTACGTTGCTACGTGTGCAGTCTGACTTCCGCCAGGCAATGTTTGGGTCTGGCAGAGACTTCGTCTTCAGCGTTTCGCGAGAGGATGTGCAAAAGATGCAGACGCCCATGCTTGTGCTGATGGGCGCGGGCCCAAGGAAGGTAGAATGTCCCAGTAACTTCAGGCCTTTCAAACATTGCAGATCAGCGAGGAATCAAAGTGGCAAGATCCACAGAGGGGCAGCATTGCCGACGGATAAGATGCAGGAACCTCGAAATCGAAGCCACGCCCGCCAAGCACAAAACTGTCATTTTACTGTCACGTAAAACGACTGCAACAGCAAAGCTGTACTGCTTGTTTCTCCCCCCTCCCTCTCATGTTTCCCTCTCCCTTGAAGGCCTGGACCAGTACCATCCCGCGGAAACGGCGCGGGAGATTGCGCGCTTGGCTCCAGCAGCGGAGCTGGTCGAAAGGTGGAAAGACAGCCCGGAGCTGATCGAGGAGGCATCGCATTGCACTCAGCGCAAGAGTCCGCGACAGTCTCAGCAAGCCGTGGGTCTGAAGAGAATCGCCGTGGAATGATGTAGTTGGAACAATTCTATCAGTTTTAATTCAGAAATGAGGGTTGTTCTAGTGCCGAGAGTGGCCGGCCGTGATAATTAGCAGCCTTAGTGGCTGATGCTCCCTTGATGACGATAGAACTTGGAGCTAGCCCCCACAGCATCAAGACGGAGCCAGTCCAACCTGACCTTCTCAAGCAACCCTAAATACACTACTGTAGGACCTCCTCAACTTTCGATTCATTCTTCTCCTCTTAATAAACTCCAAACCCCAAACATCATGAAGCCTACTGTAGGACCTCCTGAACTTTCAGTCTCCTCCTATCCGGATCAGGCAGTTGACAAGATCCTGAGCTTTCTGGCTCGATGGGGTACCTCGGCTGCCGGTCTCCTGCCCTTTCCTTCGCTTGTGACTGCTCAGTGCACTGAGGTGTTGGCATCGTCCGGGCAGACTTGTAACGACTGCGAAGGAAAAAGGGGTGTCTGCCATGTCGGAAGTGTGGCTTCAGGAGCACTCAGAGTTTGTCGTGAGGTTGCTCCCGGAATGCACCTTGCTACATTTGCGCGTGAAAGATGGGAACGACACGATTCTGGAGCATTTTCCAAGGTGACAGCGTCAGCGTCGCTGCATCTGCTGCCAGGTGCAATGTATACATGTCCGTCGAGCAGTGTGAGCGCTCGCAAGCCCTATCACACGAGCAGAAACTTTTCAAACAAACTCAACACCCTGAGTTCGTCCCTCCCTGCTGCAGAAAGGCGCCGGTGCCCAGGGTGCTGCCAACGTGGCCTGAACTCCTGGTTCGCTACGGGCGGAGGACGGTTGGGTAGGATCAGGGCTTCTAGGGTATGTGGTTATGTGTGGTTGCATTGGGGCAGATTCTGCAGCATTGCGCATACAACCCTGACGGGCTTTCATCCGTGGGTCCTTTCCTGCACCCGACATCAAACCCTTATGAGACATACCTCCAAGGCGCTCTCTTATCCCTTTTTGCGGCTCCAGCCACTACTCACAGGCTGCTCCCCTGTTCGAAGCGCTGAGGCTGGGTGCCCAGACTTTCACAGTGGAGGCTCGAACTAGTTGGTGCTTGAACCAGATGAAAGCGGTCAAAGGACAGACTCCTCAATTCAACTGGAGGGGCTTCTGTGCCGCAGACCTCGGCACATTGTAGTTGTGGGGGAAGCCGAGGTCTCAGAGCCTCAACATCCTTGTCGAGCCTGGCCACCAGGGCCCGCCACCTTCTCAGCATTTAGCAGCCTATCTTTCCAAACCGTCACGGTCCTCGTAAGAACGTCGGTGAGGTCGAACACTCTTTGGGCACCCGCCTCCTGTGCCATCGAGGGTCGGTCCCTCATCGCTGCGCCATCCAGTCAGGCTCGGACAGAGACGGAAGGTCTTGCAGGTCTGAATGAAGTCTAGAGTCTAGGGAGGCATCTCGAAGCCAGGATACGTCGGTGAAAGACAGGTGGTCGTGCCCGCAAGATCAACAGACCTGCTTAGCTGCTTCCAAAGACAGCGATGCACTGCAGGCATAAGATGGCATAAGTCTATCCTTCTCGGATGTTGCTGGCCTTGTTCTCTGTACCAGGCCCTGTCCATTCTGGACGAGCCTTCTGCGCAAGATGCTGCAAACGCGGGCTGAGAATCAGGCAGGGGATGCTTGTGCGACAACATTTGAGCACTGGAAGAGGTTATGGGTAGTCACTACAGTGACTTCAGACTATAGGCAAAAAGGACGTGTGACTACTATGTACAAGGTCGTTTCTTAGGCAAACCGTGGTGTGCGTTCTGGACACAGACGCACCTTCGAAAGCATCGGTCAAGCACTGCATCCATGCGAAGATATGCGAAGCATGTGGAGCAGTGCTGCGGAGTGACTTTCCGCTCTTCACCGATTCAGCCGACCATGGAGGCACCCTGCTGACTTGGGGCAGCTTGCTGCCTCGTCCCAAGACATGCTACAGAAGTGACAATAGCATGATCCCATGTTCAAATCAGAAGATGATCGAGTTGTTGGATGTGAGCGTGTGCGTCTTTGCTGCCTTTATGTAATAAACTAGATTCAATTGGACACTCGAACATTGTCTGACATGAGGGGGAGCCATGCACGGCTTGGGTAACTGTGTGCATTGTCGGAGTCGCTGTCAGCTTCCGGAATCAGATCCGGTTGAGCCCCATCCGGTGGGGTAATTGCCCGATGCTTGATAACAAGAAAAGTGCTTGCATGGTTTAAGTCACTGTTGTCCAGGCAGCAGCTTTGGTCCGAGCGTGCATCGAAGTCCTACAGCCAGCGAAGACCATGACGAACGCTTCGCAGACGTTGGCGGAGCTCGGCTTCTTGCTAGGCCGTAAAGACTTCCACCCATTCCCAAGCGATTTGGGTGAGGCCGCGAAAAGCCTTGGACATTTGAAAGATATATTGGAGGCTTTTTTGCATGCTTGTGGCTACTCGTATCACTCGTGTAATCACGAGCACTGTCAATGGAAGTCAGACCAGCGATCGCTTGGGTTTATTGAGGACGTCGTCAGCAGGCGGTGTATCAACATTTTGCGTTGGATTCCAAGAACGGAGGGGCTTTTGGACTATGGTGTGTCCAAAGTGCACCTGGAGGGAGTGCAGCCTCTGCTGCAGGATCTTCGTGAATTCATCGACTCGAGGTTGTCATGGGCTTCACCGAAGGCTGCTGAGACCGACGTTCATCAGAAGCTGGAGGGCTTGCGACAGGAGATTCAGGAGTTGCGGAAGGAATTCGCACCAGCCTCAGTGGCAAAAGATACAGCAAGCAAGCTGGATGCGCTGCGACAGGAGACCCACGATTTGCGGAATGACTTCGCTCCAACCTCCATGGTAACAGATATGTTAGCCGAGATAGATTTGCTGCGGGATTTGAAGCAGCACGTCATTCAGCTCTCCGTCAAGGTCGACCAGCTGCAACATTCGGATGGCAGGTGCCAGGTACGCGACCATCTGGATGCGCATGCCAGCATCAGTGGCATCGAAGGATCAAGGATTGGCTGTGCCGCTGACCTCGCTGAGGGATGCCGTCAGCTTCAAGAAATTCGAAGCACGTTCGTCAAAATTGTTGCTGACACCATGGAGGCCCAGCAGCATGTGTTTGACAGCCTTCGGCGAGAGCAGTGGTGTCTGATGCAACATGTCACCGTTGCCAGCAGCGCAGGGCAACTTAAGCCTTCGACCGTTGTGCCTGCGGCTGCCGCAAGCAGCAGCGACAGTGTCAGCGAAGCATCCTGGGTTTGTCTTAGCTGTGGTGGCTCAGATACACAGGGAAGAAGCAGTGTTAGGAGTGGAATCTCCGTCGAGACTTCTGGCAACAACTGCTTCATGCACGACGCCGCTTTCAAGTCTGAGACTGGTGCATTGTTGCCTGGGAGTGCTTTGCACAAGGGCTCGAGAGTTCTGGCTGCAGACGCTTCCGTCTTGGAGGTGGCGAACGATCCGGAGGATCATGAAGCCAGGGCCACAGTGGTCCTGAAAGCTGGTGCTGCTGAGTTGGAGGTGACTCTGGACCACAGGGTTCTCCTATCCGACAACCGCATGGCTTTTCAACTTAAACTCAGCATGTCTTAGTTTCGGCATGCTTCCTCCACAGACTCAGAATCAAAAGTCCTGCAATACCTTTTCTAAGCCAAGGTGAGAGCCCAAGACCTCCGCATTGGGGACGAAGTCCTTGTCGGCGGTCTTGGTCCTGCAAGGCTTCAGTACGTGGACGTGAAGTTCGAGCCTGTGATGGTGCGGAAGATCGTTTTCGAGCCAGACTTGCCTGTTGAGGTCTTGAAGCCCTCGATTTTGAGCCACGGGGACAAACAAAGCAAGAGGATTCGGCGTGGTGGGCGGAGCCGCAGAGGAAGCGAGCATCAGGAGAAGTGCACGATTCCGGACACTGAGGGCTACCTCACAGACTGAACCCGGTTGAAGAACGACGGCTTTATAACCGTGGACTCCGTAGACTGAATTGGAGCGTGCAGAAGTCTTGCGGGAAACCGGCAAGTCGCTTTGGCTTCCCACCACCACCAGAGATAACTTCACTGAACGACTTATCTTCTGAACTCCTCTATAAGTCTAGCCTGAATCCTAAACAGTTCTCCTAAAACCCAAACTCCTCTAAGTCTCTTTTGGGTGGGCGGCCCAGTGCGCACGGTCCAGCCGAAGAGTCGACCTGTGCCCAGGAAGAAGACTTGTCACAGTTTTGAACCGATGCGTCTGTGCACGCAGCTCATCATTGAGCCGCTGGCTTCTTAAGTATTCCAACCTTGCAATTAATTACTGTGCCAACTTGAGGAAGCAGCTGATCTAATGCTGAGGTTGTGGTGCCATGCATCGGGTTTACAAATGTCAGAGACATGCCGCAGAGCTCCGTTGCAACGCTTTGTATAGAAGGTACCACTTGGCAGACTTGTAGCAAGCTTCGCCGTCGCCCGTGCCAGAAGACGTCAGGGCGTGTGCAAAAGGCTGCCTCGTCGAGCTGTGCGAGTCACACATGTTCCGAACAGCAGTCTACCAGGTTGGCTGCCGAAAAGCCCTATCCCAGATGCAGTAAGGTCCGACGCCATCGCCGGCAGACTGTCGTCCGGCTTCGCGGAGTAGTCGCCGTACCTTGGCCTCGGAGACCAGTTGATTTGATAAGAGCTGTGGTCTTGGAGAGGCCGAGACTCTTGGCCAAAAGCCCAGGCGATGGGCACTAGCCCACAAGCTTCAAAATTCACCGCCCCGACACACGGGTTCATGATCACATGCACGCGTCACGCCTCGATCTCTTCGCCAAGAATTGCGACTGGGTTAATGGCAGAATGCCGGAGTTCCTTAAACTATGATTTCATGTCTGGCTACGCTGTATGCCGCAAAAACCTCAAACATCCTCAAACCCGGTGCCTCATCCCTACACCAGCACCTCAAGGCAAGGAGCTGCAAATCTGGCTCGGTGCCCCGCGGTTTCAGCAGCTGGGAAGCCGAGATGTCTCCGACTTCTCCTAGACGTAGTGTTTAGACTTCAGGGTTTGGGGTTTAGGGCTTATAGGGTTTAGAATTCAGGGTTTGGGGTTTAGGCGGCGTTTCTTAGCTTGGAGCTTGATTCAAAAGGAGCTCTTTAAGGCTCGGGTCGCTTGGAGAGTGAGGATTCGGATTTAAAGGTTTTTGGTCGGCGGTTTCGGCGTGTTTAGCTCGGTAAAGCTCGGGGGTGTGGCTCAGAGTGTGGAGATTGGGGTTCGACTTGTGTTTGTTTGGGCGCGAGGCTGCGGATGAAAAGCGCTGAGTTCAGCACTTCGGATTCAGCAAGTCACATTATAGAATTTACCTGCAAAGCCCTTATGAAATCCTATTCCAACTACACAAGCCCTGATTTTCAGAACGCTTATACACCCCGTTTTAGGAACCCTTTAACTAAACCCTATCACTTCAGGTTTCTACAGTATAGTATGCACGCCAAGACCCCACTCCAACCATTATGGCCCTTACAACGAAAACCCTGAAAAACCCTATAAGCACCTGGAGCCCTACCCTTTATATTTTCCTGTACAGGAATCTTATCTCTTCAACCTTTTCCCCAAGGCTCATAAGGACTCTGTGCAGACTTTATAAAGCCCTCAGGAAATCCTGCTTTCATTACTATGGCCCCAATACCAGGAACCCAACGGACCTTTTAAGCATTAAGGCCCCTCTACTAAACTAAACCCGAAAGCCATTCAAATCCTCCCAAGGCCACTATCACTTGTAACGGTACCATAACATACTCCAAAATAACCCTAAACCCTAAACCCTACACCCTAAACCCTAAACCGTTATGGCCCCTAGACCACTTCGACCCTTTTCCCCCAAAGGCTCTGGGACCCCCGCTGCTCGCCGCGCTGCGCGCCAGGGCTGCGGAGCTTCTTTCGCAGCCCAATGCTCAGGCCGATCCTCGGGCCTTTGCATATGGGTAGTTCTCTAGACTGGGATCCCTTTTTGGTCCCCAATATAGTACGGCACCCTTACAAAAAGGACCCTAAGAGGGGCCCTAATTTAGAGAACTACCCATATATAGATAAGTAAACAAATTGATGAATATAGATACTGTTATCATCTATATCTGTGTATCTGTATCTGTATCGTTATCAGTATGCACTAGTCTACACATACAAACACCCGTGTGTAGAAGTGTGTATACACGCAACCAGCACACACACACACCCACACACCCACACACCCACACACCCACACACACACACACGTTTACACAAGTATATGCAAGTTCCAGTGTGCCTCGCAGGGCTTCGGTCACGTAGATTTGTGCTTGTGTGTTTAGGGTGTTAAGGCTTAGGGACGGTAGGCTTGAGAGTGAAGAACGTAGGGCTGCAAGTTTCGAAGCTTTTTTAGTTAGGACCGTAAGGTTTTTTCGGGCTTAGGGTCTGAGGCTTCCTGTTCGGGTCGGCCAAGGATGAGAGGGAAGGACTGTGCAGGGTTGCGCGGGCATAGCTTCATAGGCGTCGTCGTCATCGTCGTCGTAGTAGTAGTAG